GCGGGGGCGGGGCGCGGTGTCGGGCGGCGCCGGCCCAAAAGGCGGAGTCGCCAGGCGCAGGGGCCAGAGCTGTGCGCGCGGGGCTGACTTCGCGGCGCAGAGAGCCAGCGGGAACCCGGCCCGAGGAGCTCCCGTCCCCGTCCGGCCCGGCTTGGCCTCGCGCTATGGAGTTCCTCTGGGCCCCTCTCTTGGGTCTGTGCTGCAGTCTGGCCGCTGCCGACCGCCACACCGTCTTCTGGAACAGTTCAAATCCCAAGTAAGCCCTGAGTCTCCCGCTGGCAGCCTGGGCGCCTGGCTGGCACTGCCCTTCTTTAGGGTAACTGTCCCTGCCAGCCCCAGACCTGAGCCTAGGGAAGGTGACCGGGGCGGGCGGGAGGGATTCTGTAGCTTTTCCTCCCGAAGCTGAGCACCCCACCCCGGGCAAGAAGCTGCCTGCACTTGCTTGCATGGGCACTATTTTTGCCCTTCCCTGCCTGCCCTCCGTCACCCTTATCACTGCAGTGAGGGACCCACGCCGAGCTTTCCTGCCCGAGTACCCGCCCTGCAGGGCTCTGTCCCAGGTCCGGAGCCACAGGACCTCCGAGCCCCTCCTCCAGTACCGCTTGGGATCTGCTCCGACTAACACTCCCTGATGTGATAATCAAGAATGAGCAGTGCTCAGTGTAAACCTGGAAAAACCCTCAGGGGGCCCTGACTGTTGGGTACTAGGTATTTATTCTGTATTTAAGATGCCCCTGAAGAGCCCCTATCAGGAGTCTTTTGGGGTGTCACAAGTGAGGCACAAGCTGTGCGCATGGGTAGGTTAAAGGAATCACCTGTTTCAGAAGTCCAGGTAGAAAAAATGAAGAGCAGGAGGGGCAGTGGGAAGACGGTCACGAAAAAGCTTCAGAAGGAACGGTAGGGGCTTAAAAGGTTACAAAGGTTCCTGGGCAGGAAGGAGTTAATTTCTCTGGGGCAGATTTAGGGTTGTGAGGTGAATGGTACTGGAGGAAGACTGTCTGTCTTGTTGGACCCTTTGTTCTTGCCCTGGAGTTTTGTAAAGTTATGGGAACAATATTTGCGGGAAAACTGGAAGGGGTGGGTGGAGCAGGGAGAGGAGAGCTGGATAGCTGAGGGTTGAAAAACACCACTCAGCTGCCCCCAGCCTTAGCATGCCTGCCTCCCACTCCCCCTGAGAAACAGATTTGCCAACTTCCTCTGACGCTTTGGCATTGCCTAGTGGGGAGGGGTTGTGTGGGGCTTGCTGTGGGGGAAGGGAAAAGCAGCTGCCAACCCCAGAGGGTACTGCCCTCCTGGCCACGGGGTATCATGGCTGCCCAGCCTGCCCTCCTGTCCCCACTTCTTGTTGCCTGCTCTTTGCCTCCTTGACCCAATCCCGGCCTAGTAGTGGGAACAGAGAGAGAGAGCGAAGTCCCTGTTTATGCCCATGCCAGGTGTTGGCTGAAGGAGGAGGAGGGGACAGGAAGCCACGAGTCCAGGGGGGGAACTCTGGCCTTTTCCGTTCCCAAGCTCCCAGGTTTCCTCTCTTTCAGGAAAGAGCCTCTTCCTTGCCCCCCTCCCTGCCTTCCCTGACGCCTAGGCGGCCCCTTTCCCACAGGAGAGCAGGAGTCAAAGGAGGGCTAAGTGAAGGAGTTGGTACGGGGCGGGGATGATGGGTGCCCCTCCAGTTACACACACACACACACACACACACCCATAGCCAGGACTAGTCCAGAGTGGAGTCCATGGGCAGCCAAGCCAGGCCCTGCTTGGGGCAGAGATGAGGCGGCAGTGAACTGGGAGGCACTGAGGTTGGCACAGGTGACTCAGGCCAGTGGGCATCAGCCCCGGGGTCTCCAGGCCTTAGGCAGGGGCAGTGTGAGGAGCAGGGCAGCGCCACTGGGAGCTGGGCCTTGGCTCTCTTGGTGCTGGAGGGACAGGTGCCTGTGCCTTCAGACCTGCACCCTTTGCCTGGAAGCGGGTGCCCAGGGCCAGCTGGCCTGGGGTCCTGGGGGCTGCCTACATTAGACGAGGTAAATTCTCACAGGTTCTTAGTAGTGCTAGCTGGGGCGGGGAACAGAGGTGGATGAGAAATGAGTCAGTGCCCGTCACGGGAATGGGGGAAAGACGCCAGGCCCAGAGCTGAAATACCTGTTTCGAAATGGCTTCTATGTTTATCTCTCCAGAGAGGAATTTTAAAAGCCTCCCTCTGCTCCTCTCTTTCCCCGGGTGGGGGAGGGGCCCTGGTAAGCTCCGCCTGGATCCCTGCAGCAAGTTGCTGCAAGGCCAGGCCTCGCAGGGCTCAGCCGACTGGGCAGTGGGTGCCCACTTCAGAGGTCTCGGCCTCATTCTTCCCCCTCCCCCACCACCCATGCCCAAGGCTTGGGTTTAAAGCAAACTGGCAGCCAGGTCTGCAGAGTCTCTCCCTGGCAGTCCTTGGGGGAATTCAGTGAAGCTGACCAGCTTGAAAGTGGTGGTGGTGGGGCGACACTTTCCCCCTACAAACACCACCCACCCTGCAGGCTGGAGCCAGGTGTCTGGAGCTGGGGGAGGGGCTGGTGGGCGGTGGAGCTGGAGCCTGTGTGGCTGGGGGAGGGGGCTGGAGGAGGGGATCTGGCTCCACCTGGGGAGGAGGGGAGGGAGTAGCAGCCTCAGGACACAGAACTCCAGCTTTGCACCGGGGAGGTGGGGTGTGGCTTTGGCAATAAAGAGGGATATTTGGGGGTGCTTGAGAGAAGAGGCTGGGGAGAGCAGGGCATAAATATGAGTAGCAAGAAGAGCAGACTGGCGTGAACTGGTGAGAACGATTGACCTGAAAGGACTGAGGGTATCTGTGGGCCTAGGTGTGACCTAGAGAGAAGTTTGGAAGGCAAAGTGAAGCTGGAAAATGTGGAGGCAACTCAGGGGGTCCGGGGAAAGGGAGGAGTTAGAAAAGTGAAGACACAGGTGTGGTGGGGCTCGGTGCAGGCATGGTCAAGAGAGGGTGTCTTGGATTTTGACACCAAGTAGAAATGCCTTAGCGTGGTGGTGCACACCTGTAATCCCAGCGCTGGGGAGGCTGAGGCAGGAGGACTGCAGTGAGTTCAAGGCCATCCCAAGTGAGCTCTAGAAACATTTAGAAGCCCATCTTTGGGCAAATACCTGGGGGCTTATAGAAAATGTGTTGGTATCTGAGATATTGAGTGGATGCTTTTTTGGAGGACGGAAAGGAGATGATGGTGGCAGGGGAGATGTTTGGAGATGAGAGATATGATGAAATCAAATCAGTCAGGCATGGTGGCATATGCCTGCCACCCCTAGCACTTTGGGAGGCTAAGGCAGAAGAATCACAGGTTGCTTGGGCAACTTAGTGAGACCCTCCCTGTTGTATAATTTAATTTGGGGGTTTTTTTGAGATAAGGTCTCACTGTGTAGACAGGCCGGCCTCGAACTAACAGAGATCCTCCTGCCTCAGCCTCCTGAGTGCTGGGATTACAGGCACACGCCACCATCCTGACTAATCCTCCCTGTCTTAAAGTAAATAAATAAATAAATAAATGGACTGGTGCTGTAGCTCTGTTGTAGAATACCCCTGGGTTCAGTCCCAGGGAGATTAAGATTGGTAAATATTGGGAGTTGAGATTTTGGGAGTCTTTGGAGGCTCCGGTGTGGAAGGGGAGGGGTCATGTAAACAGCTGGAGGCTCAAGGCTCTGGCCGGGCTTCTGAATGACCACCTGCTTCCTCCCTTTCTGTGCACGCCCAGGTTCCGGGATGAAGACTACACAGTACATGTACGATTGAATGACTACCTGGACATTATCTGTCCCCATTATGAGGATGACACTGTGGCAGACACTGCCATGGAGCGGTACACACTGTACCTGGTGGAGTATGAGGAGTATGCAGTGTGCCAGCCCCAATCAAAAGACCAGGTCCGCTGGCGGTGCAACCAGCCCAGCGCCAAGCATGGCCCAGAGAAGCTGTCTGAGAAGTTCCAGCGCTTCACACCTTTCACCCTGGGCAAGGAATTCAAGGAAGGACATAGCTACTACTACATCTGTGAGTGCAGGGGAGGCAGGCACAGAAGGGCTCGCGCTGGGCACAGCAGCACGATGGCACGGTGCCTGTGCCTGGGTACCTGCTTAATGGGGAGTCAGGTAGCACAGGGCCCCTTCTGAGCCCGAATTCTATTTTCATTCATTCACATCATAGATGTGGAGTGAGCTTCTACTGTGTATTGGGCTTTCTGCTTGGCAGAATGGGCAGAGTGAAATGAAACACTCCAGAGCCCCTGCCTCAAGGAAGCGGTGGCACAGACCATAGAACACGATGGTATGGTAGACATGAGCACAGGGGCCTTAGGAAAAATGGCCTACGCAGCTGCCAGTTTAGGAGGCACAGAAGAAGCCAAGCAAGGAAATGACCAGAGCTTAGGACAAGAGGAGAAGCTGGCCAGGTGTGGGGGTACGTGTGCAAAGGGAACTCCAGGAGAAGGACACGAATGGGAAGTGGGCAGAGATGAGCTTGGAAAGCAGACAGGATAGGTCAGGGAGGCCCTGAATACTGCAAAGGAGTTCAGGCTTTATCTTGAGGGCAGTGGAAAGGACTGGTAGATTTTAAGTTGCAAGGTCAGCTTTTTGTAGAACAGAGCCAGGGCTCGCTGTGTGGGTGAACCCTAGGTAGAAGTGGTATAAGATGGCCCAGGTAAAAGGGATCATATTGTGAACGCCTCACCAAACTCCATGCTTGCAGGTGTCAAGGACAGAACGGGTCTGTCTTCTTTTCACCACCACTGCCAAACTCAGGGTTGTTCCAGAGACTGGGACATTGGGCAGGTGGTGGGTAAGAATCAAGGTTAGAGGGAAGAGAAGAATTCAAGTGACTCGGAAGCTGAGGAATCAGGGCCAGACACATTTGGGCTTATAGTTAGCTATTCCCAACAAACGTTCTTTGCTTAATTCCCTGTGGGTTTGTCTTGCAGCCAAACCCATCTCCCATCAAGAAGACTACTGCTTGAAGTTGAAGGTGACTGTCGATGGCAAGATCAGTGAGTGTCAAGCCCTGTGAGCCTCCCCTCCATCTCTGTACTAGGCCGGCTCTAGTGATCTGGGAGTGTAGAGAAGTCCCACTGCCCAGCCCACCCAGCGCTCACACCCTCTGCCTCCCTGGTAAAATGCCTCATCTGTTCCACTCTTTGTCTTTCAGCTCACAGTCCACAGGCCCATGCCAATCCACAAGAGAAGAGACTTCAGTCAGGTAGGTAGCTGGAATCAGTTGGGTCTGGGACACAGGAAGGGATCTGTATGAGGATGCTGGGTGCAGGAAGTTGTTCCTTTGCCAGTCAGGGGCTTGGAAACCCTGCTGGGGCTGAAGGCCAGTGCAGACAGCAGGGCCGCTTATCCTGGGGGGCCGTTGTTCTCTCACCTTGCAGATGACCCGGAAGTGCAGGTTCTACACAGCATCGGTCACAGCGCTGCCCCCCGCCTCTTCCCACTTGCGTGGGTTGTGCTGCTCCTGCCATTGCTGCTGCTGCAGACTCAGTGAAGAGTGTCCACCACTTTAAGAAATGGAACTGGGCTAAGAGGCCAGGGACAGGCACCTGTCACTTGGCCTAGGGTGGGCCCCAAAGCTCCAACCCTGGGAACCACTCCCACTACAGGCACAAGCTGCCACCCATCAGCCTCTGAATGGGTCAGTATTAAGGGTTTCCACCATCCTGTGAATGCCATCCCTGCCTGCACTTTAAAGGGATGGAGTGAGAAGTGGGGACAGTCCTTTCCCCACCGTTCCTGCCTTTAAACCAAAGACACAAGCTATGCAGACATGGCCCTTGAGAGGGCACAGTGGGAGCCAAGCTGGAAAGGAGAGGTCAAGCAGATGGACACCGAGCCTGGTACTAGGTGGGACAAGATGCCTCTCCCAGAGAAAGCCAGCGTGCCCGGATGAACTGACTGAAGGAAAGGAGGGACAGTTTCCTGCACAGGAGCCAGGTACAGGAGAGGCAGCATGCTTGGGCTGACCGAGCGTCTCACAGCAAGGCTTCCATCGGAGGAGCTGCCAGGCACTGCATCCTGTCTCCCCATCCTGGGGCAGCACTCCAAAGAGCTGTGCCAGCAGGGGGGCTGTGCCAACCTGTTTAGAGTAGAGCCGTAAGGGCAGTGCCCTTGTGTACAGTCTGCCTAGAGCATCGCCTAAAGGGCAGGGCCCTCATGTACAGTGTCTGTTTATAAACTTGTAGTGTGTCTGCAGATTTCTACAACTGGAGGTTATTTGTTTTTGTTTTTTTATACAATGTTCTTTGTCTCAAAATAAAACAATGTGTTTGTTTTTTTTGGACATGTTTTTAAATGAGCATAGAGTCCCTGCTGTGTACTAGGCTCTGCTGCATCAGAAGCAACTGGGTGTGAATTTCTTTCTTTCTCCAAGAAGTACAGGCCAGAAGGTTGGGGAATTTCCTCTCTGAGGGCTGTGCAGGGCAGGAGTGCTCCCCACAGCATCTCTCCGCACCCCACCATGGAAGTTCTTCCTGTCCAACCTCTGCCCCACTCCCACCCCCTCAGCACTGGGCTTGGCATACTGTTCAGGTACTCGTGCTGACTGTCTGGGTGACTCAAGCAAGCCAGATGCCAGCTGAAGCATGTGCCCCGCCCCGTGGCCCCACAGCGGAGACGTGGGAGGCTGGGAGGGAGAATTCCTGGCAGCAAACAGGTTGAACCATGGGGTCAGTGGCAGGGACCAGTGCACTGGGCAGATCATGTAAAGTTGGCCCTGTGGCTGAAGGAGGAGGGCCTCTGGCGAAGGAAGACCGTAATTCCTGGCAAGACCAGTTATTTAGGGGAGGCTGGGAAGAGGCTTCAGTGAACTCGGGAAATCTTCCCAAACCCTCGACCACTGAGGTCCTGATTTGGAGCTCTGGACAGGAGGCCTAAAGTCCCGGAAGTCTAGCTTTTGAGTCCCACCACGTGGGCTTCAGGTACACAAAAGTTGAGGCTGGGGGTCTAAATGATCCAAGAGGTACGCAGAGTTAGGGGTGGAACTGTGGAGGACACACCACACTGGGCGCCAGGAACCGAGCCTGGAGGACCACCCCTCCGGAAAGGACCCCAGCCTGCGGCGGACCGGCGGGACTGGCGTCAGAAGGGGCGGGGCCTGAGTTCCGGCGCAGAGTTCTAGGAGAGGGCGGGTTTCCGGGGGGGGGGGGGACGGCGCGGGGGCGGGGCCGGGCGCACGCCTGGCTGGGCTCTAGCGTCGCTGGCTCCTGGGCTGAACTGTCCCCGGCCCGGGATCCGATTGGGGCAGGATGGAGACGGGCAGCATGGCCGACTCGCTCCTTTCCGGAGCTTGCGTGGTCTTCACCCTTGGCATGTTCTCCACCGGCCTGTGAGAGCGCAGCCCGAGTGGGCTGGGGCAGGACCAGGAAGTCAGGAAAGGGGGGCGAATGGACAGAGCCGTGGCCATGCCCCCGGGCAGCGTCCGGAATCAGCAGTCAAAAGTGGAATCTGGTCGAAGGGATTGGGATGCAAGGGCAAGCCTGAGGGAGAAGGCAGGGGACCAGAGGGGTGGGTGTGCGGTCGTGCCGGGAGGATGACAAGCATCGGGGGTCTCCCACTCACCCGCCACCCTTCCCTTTGGGGCCCCATTACAGCTCGGACCTCAGGCACATGCAGAGGACCCGGAGCGTGGACAGCGTCCAGTTCCTGCCCTTTCTCACCACGGATGTCAAGTGAGAGGGACGAGGGCTGCGGCGGGAGAGGCCTGGGGGAGGCGGGGAGGAACTGGAGGAAGGCGGAAGAGGCCCCTGGGGACCCTCTGCCACGTTCAGCCCTGCATCGCAATTCGGCCCCTCCTCCCTGCAGCAACCTGGGCTGGCTGAGTTATGGGGTCCTGAAGGGAGACGGGACCCTCATCATCGTCAACGCTGTAGGTGCTGTGCTTCAGACCCTGTATATCCTGGCCTATCTTCACTACTGCCCGCAGAAGGTAGAGGCCCTCCCTTGGACCCACCTCTGCTGCACGCCCTGCCTTGCTGGCAGGGCAAACATTACTTCCTAGAACAATTAACAGGCTGGCACTGTCACCTTTTCCTAGAAGGCCCTCCAGCCTTGCAATGTCCCTTCCTCCTTGAAGCCCGCCTTCTGAGACTCACACACTGCTCCCCACTCTAGGAAGGCTGGTAGCACTGCCTGGCCTAGTGATGCCTGTGCTGCCCTAAGCTTCCCAGCAGCATGCCAAAGAGAAAGGGCTTTTGTTTCTAGAGTTCCTTCAGGGCCACTGGCTGAGGATGAGATGATCAGCTCTGCTTCCCTACTCTTTCCACAAGCATTTATTTATTAGACTCCTACTGTATATGCCAAGTTCACAGAAAAAAAAAAAAAGATACCTTTCCTTTTCCCAGGATACTTTTCCCTTTCCCTGTTGTGTGACAGGACTACTCCATTTAGTCACTGCGGGGGAAAAACTGTGACAATTGCAATACTAGAAGCTGCCACAAAGGCTGGCTTCCCCAGTGGAGAGTATGGGAGAAGGCAGGATGAATTAATTCCAGCGTGGAGGTCAGACAGTGCTCCAGGCACGCCTAGAAGAGCCCTCTCTCCCCTGCAGCGCATTGTGCTCCTACAGACTGCAACCCTGCTGGGGGTCCTTCTCATGGGTTATGGCTACTTTTGGCTCCTGATGCCCGATGATGAGGCCCGGCTTCAGCAGCTCGGCCTCTTCTGCAGTGTCTTCACCATCAGCATGTATCTCTCACCACTGGCTGACTTGGTGAGTGGGGTGTCTGGGGGTTGGGAGTTACCGACCAGGCCCCTGTGGCTAGAGAATGTGGCTTACACTCTAAAAGAAAGGAAGATCTGGATCCTGGTAGGAGACCAGACAGTGGAAGTCAGTGAGTGGAAAGCAGAAAGGCTGAATAACAGACAGGGAGGCTGTCTGACCTTTTTCTTAAGAAAATTCTTAGGCAACCTGGGAACTTTGTGTGCCTGGTCCAGTGTCTTTCATCCTTTCTCACAGGCCAAGGTCATTCAAACTAAATCAACCCATCGTCTCTCCTTCTCACTCACCATTGCCACCCTCCTTACCTCTGCCTCCTGGTCCCTCTATGGGTTTCGACTCAGAGATCTCTACATCATGGTAAGCAGAATATAGATGGGGTGAAAAGTTTGCAAAGTAGAAAATTGGTTCCAGTGAGAGTAGCCCTTTTTTCCCCCTTTTCCTTTTCTTTTTTTTTTTTTTTTTTTTTTGAGACAGGGTCTATGTATTTCAGGCCAGCTTTGAACTCACTATGTAGCCCAGGCTGGCCTTAAACTCATGGCAATCCTCTTGCCTCATTTTTCTGAGTGCTGGGATTACAGGTATATGCTTTTTGTCTTTTTTCCAGACAGGGTCTCACTATGTAGCTCAGATTTGCCTTAAAATCACTCTATAATACTGGCTGGCGCTGGAACCTACAGTGATCCTTGTGCCTCAGCTCCCCCAAGTGCTGACATTACAGGTATGAACTACCACACCAGTCTGATAGCAGCCCTTTTATTGCAGGTCCCCAACCTTCCAGGAATCCTTACCAGCTTTATCCGCCTCTGGCTTTTCTGGAAGTACCCCCCAGAGCAAGACAAGAATTATCGGCTTCTGCAAACCTGAGGCAGCTCATCTAAACACTAGGCACCCTAATGCCAACTTGATACCAAAGAGTTCCTTGTTTCAGATGGTCCTGGTGACCTGTCCTATAGGTGCAGTGGGTTGTGGGAAAGAGACAATTTTGAGATTAGAGGGTTCAAAAAATGAGCTTCACTCAGAAGACTGGGTGGGACCTATGAGATGAAATCACTTATTTGCCTGAAAAATTATCTTTTTTAATTTTGGAAATTGGGGTGATATCTTTACACTGTGCCTTAAAATAAACTGTTCCCCACCCCTGCCAATCACAGCTCATTCTTTATTCATGATTCTCAACCTGTCTAGTTTGGTGAAGGTTAGATCCAGCTATTCCCAGGTGGAGTTTGCTTAGAAAGGATATCTGAAAGAACCAAGAGATTGGGAAGACCTGGGAAGACCTTAAAAAGAACAGAGCTCTGAGCTGGGCATGTTGGTGCACACCTCTAATCCCAGCATTCTGGCAGACTGCGGCAGAAGGATCATGAGTTCATACCCAGCTTGGATAATTTAGTGACTTAGCAAGACTCTGTCTCAAAATAAAACAATAAAGGGCTGTGGCCCTAACTCAGTGTGAAAGCCCTGGGTTCAATCCCTAGTACCAAAATTTTTTTAAAGATCAGAGTTTGTAAGTTATAAAGAGTGGCAGTTAGATTTAAGAGGTACTTCTTAAAAAAAAAAACAAAAAACAAAAAAAAAACTTCCTTGCGTTTGATTTCCTAGTACTGAAAAACAAAACAAAACAAAAAAAACCACTTCCTGATGGGATTAAAAGGATCAGGAAAGTGAAATGACATTTCCATCCCGAGATCTTTGAGAAAGTGTCTTTGCCTCCTCTGGGACAAAAATGGGGAACATTTTGCAAGATGCAAAGATAAATACTGAGATGACCTCAGGGCAGTGGCTCTTCCACTTCTCACTTGACGACCGTTGGTAAACAGAGTCCCCAACCCCTATTCTCCACGCAAACTGCACGAGGTTAGAAAACAAACTTGCTTTTTAATGGGGATGGGAGGGAGGCTGTCGGGCTGGGTGATGGGGAGCTAAGGTGTCAGAAGCGCAGACCCCTGCGCCTTAAGTCCGCTCGGGCCTCCTGGATGTGATTCTGTAGCTCGAGGGCGGCGTCCTCGCAGTCGTGAAACGTGGCCACGCGATAGCCCACAGTGCCCAAGGCATAGCAGCCTGCGGCCACCAGCAGGTAGGCAGGCAGTGGCCACAGGACCTCCCGGCAGGGCGAGGGTAACTCCAAGCCCAGAGCTCCCACAGTCAGGGCCGCCCAGGCGGAGCCCAGGAGCGCCAGGGCCCAAAGCCACTGGGCCAATTTCGTCATGGTCACTGCAGGGAGAGAAAGCGAAGCTCGGGGTCCTTTCCACACCGGTAACCCACTCTACCTTTGAGACCCAGTGCCCATCGTCCCCACCCTTCTCGCCCTCTACCCTCCCCCTTCAACCCACTGGTACCTCCCGGCTTCTCCTCCGCCGAGCGGCCCGACCGGAACCCGGCGCCCGGAAGTCCTCCGCGCGGCCTGCTGGGAGTTGTAGTTCTCCGGGCCTTCTGGGAGTTGTGGTTCTGTGAGTGCTGTACCGCCTCTGGGAGCCTGGAGGGATTCAGCAGTCTTGTTTCGCAAATGGCCCGTTGAGTCTCCAGGGGACCCGGGGCTGCGATCCTCCTTAAGGGTCTCACTCCAAGCTGGTGCGCAGCTCGTAGAAAGGCTGAGACTACCCTAAATGTACCATCGCAACAAGGTGGGACTGTGATATCGTTTCCTTAAATTCCGCCCTCCAGCGCAGTGAATTCTAAGCTAGCCTACAAAGCGAGACCCTGTTTCAAAACTAAAACAATAATAATAAAATTAAAACGTTAAGAAAGAAAAAAAAATTGAAACCAAGGAAATTATCTGATATTTGACGTGTTTAAGGTATCAAGAGAAAATGTATACCTCTTTCAAAGAGCGTGGGGGATGAATTCATGATTGATGCCTAGAAAAACCAAGCAAAGAAAAGGGTAGACAGCTGGGTGTGGTAGCACAGGCCTGCAGTTCCGGCACTTGGGGAGCTGAGACAGAAGGATCCAAAGTTCAGGGCCAGCCTGGGAAATCTGGCAATTTAGCAAGACCCTGTCTCAAAAAAAAAAAAAAAAAAAAGAAAGAGAAAGAGAGGGAGGGGGAAGGAGTGGGGGGAGAGGAAAGGGAGGGGGAGAAGAAGGTGGGGGACAGAGAGAGAGAGCTCACTATAAAGGTCCTGGATTCAATCGCCAGTACTAGACTGACATGACAATATGCACCTGTGATCCCAGCACTCAGGATTAAAATTAGACCCATGTTTTTCACCATGCACTAAACTAAATTTGAAATGGATCAAAGATCTAAATATAAAAATAGAAACACTAAATCTGCTGGAAGATAAAATAGGTCAAACTCTTGAAGATACTGATGTAGGCAAAGACTTTATGAACAAAACCCCGATCACAAAGGAAGTATCACAAAGAATCAACACCTAGGATCTCATCTTATTAAAAAGCTTTTGCACAGCAGAAGAAACCACTGAGTGGGAAAAAATTTTTGCGAGCTGTTCCTCAGACAGAGGACTAATATCTAGAATATAGAAAGAACTAAAAAAAATCAGACCCATAAATTTAAAGATCCAATCCAAAAATGGACATCTTGCCAGGCATGGTGGCACACGCCTGTAATCCCAGCACTTGGGAGGCTGAGGCAGGAGGATTGTTGCGAGTTCGAGACCAGCCTGGGCTACAAAGTGAGCTCAAGGCCAGCCTGAACTGCACAGCGAGACCCTGTCTCAAAAAAAAGACAAAACAAACAAACAAATGAAAAAATGTTCAACATCACTGGTCACTCGAGAGATGCAAATTTTAAAAATGCTGAGATTTCATCTCCAGAAAGAATGGCTATTGTCAAGAAATCAACTAGTACAAATGCTGGCAGGGTTGTGGGGGGAAAAGGGACCCTTCTCCACTGTTGGTGGGAGTGTAAACTGGTGCAAACACTGGGAATCAGTGTGGATATTCCTCAAAAAACTAAAACTGGTCCCATTTGATGTAGCTATTCCCTTTCTTGTTTTCTTTCCTTCTTCTTCCTTCCTTCCTTCCTCTCTTTCTTTCTTCCTTCCTTCCTTCCTCTCTTTCTTTCTTTCTTTCTTTCTTTCTCTTTTTCTCTTTTTTTCTTTCTCTCTTTCTGTACTAGGAATCAAACTCATGACCTCATGCTTGTCAGGCAGGCACTGTGCCACTGAGCTATATCCCCAGCCCCTCTTTCTTGGTTTCTTCCCAAAAGAATTAAAGGTGTCATACCACAGCAATATATACACATTCATGTATAGCAGCACGGTTTGTAATACCTAAATCTTGGAAACAGCCCAAATGCCCATCAACTGATGAATGGATAAAGAAGATGTAATTTTTTTTATATACAAAGGAGTACTATCCTGCCATAAAGAAGGATACACTTGAGACATTTCTAGCTAAATGGATGCACCTTAAGACCATACTCTTTAAGTGAAATATATTGGGTGTACATGTTTAAATACTGAATTGTTTCTCTGGTATAAGAAACTGAAAGTGTAAATAAGGACCAAAATGTATAATAGATATTAGGAAATGTCCAAATGAGGAGGGAGAGAAGGGAGGGGGAAGGGGAAAAGAAAGGAAGGGTCAAAAAAAAAACAGAATGGAAAGAAAAATGGAAACAAAGCTTTTGTATATGAGTGGAAGAAGGGTTAAAGGGAGAGGAGGGGAATGGGGAAAGAAAGAAGCAAGATATAACATGTACAAGTACAAATTCCCTATAATGAATATTATATTATGTATATCTAAAGTGTACCAATAAAAAATTGAAATTTGTTCAATCTCTGTATGATAGTTAATTGATTTTGTCAATTTGGATAAGAAAAAGATTTTGAGTAAGAAATTACCCACTAAATTGGATCAGCACAGTTCTGGATGTGGCTGAGGAGATTTACTGAAGATTTGCTAGGATTTACTGGGTGTGAGTGACAGCACCCAAAAGACTTGTTGCCTAAATGGAATAAAAGGAAAACAAAGAAGAATTTGCTTCTGTTTCTTCAGAGGAGCTCTAGTCTTCACTTTTACTTTGGAAGCCATCCTCTGGCTTCCAGTATAGACCCTTCAGCCTTCTATCACAGACCCTTCAGCCTCCTGATATGAACTCAAAAGGGAACATACAGCCAGGTGTGGTGGTCCACACCTGTAATCCCAGCACTCGGGAGGCTGAGGCAGGAGGATTGCTGTGAGTTTGAGGCCTGCCTGGGCTACAAAGTGAGTTCAAGGCCCGCCTAAACTACATGGTGAAACCCTGTCTCAAAAAGGCAAAAAAAAAAAAAAAAGAAAAAAAAAAGGGGGAGTGGGGTGGGGGGATAGTACAGTGAGCTCCAGGCCTTTGACTGGGTCCTTTAGATCTCTAACACATAAATCTTTTGCACTCTTACACACCTGACTCTGTTGGGAAGCCATTGTAAACAAATCTTATAACTTCTTTTATATTAGTACATGTTGCATTAAATGTGTTTCTCTAGTAACCTTTGACTAGTACAGATTTTGGTACTGAGAGTAGGGTTATTGCTGTGATATTACCTGACCATGTGGTTAACTGGCTTTTGGAAAGAGTTTGGAAAGATTTGGAAATGCCAGCTAAAGAAGCAGCCCCAGAATGCTTTAAAATGTACTTAATGGGGGGCTGGGGATTTAGCTCAGCGGCAAAAGCGCCTGCCTGGCAAGCACAAGGTCGTGAGTTCGGTTCCCGGTACCGGAGAAAAACAAAACAAAACAAACAAACAAAAAAAAGTACTTAATGGGAGATTCTGGTCAGAGTTCAGAAGATCAGAATGCTGGTAGAAATGCAGCCAGTAAAGACCAGGTTCAGTTAGGAACTGAACTGAAGAGGTTTCAGTTAGGAACAAGAACTGCACTGGGACTCCAGACCACGTGTGTTATCTTTTGGCAGAAAATTTGAGTAAAAAATTTTGCAGTTTGCTCACGTCCAGAAATTTTGCCTGAGACTGAGATTAAAGGCAGAGGATTCATTAATCTTGTGGAAGGAATTTCAAAACAGTCTAATGTTGCCAGGCATAGTGGTACACGCCTGTAATCCCAGCACTTGAGAGGCTCAGGCAGGAGATTACCACAAATCTGAGGCCAACCTGGGCACATTGTGAGTTCAAGGCTAGCCTGAACTACATAGCAAGACCCTGTCTCAAAAAAAAAAAAAAAAAAAAAAGTCTAATGTTGAGGCGGTGGTATGGCTATTGTTGGGGGTTTTATAGCCAGATCTGTGTTGAGAATCAAGAACAAAGGGCACAGCAGAATGATTGAAAACATTTTGAGTTTGACCAGAAAGGAAGCTCCAATAAAGTTGCAGCCTGCAAAGATGGGGTGGAGGAGAATTTGATTGCTGAAGAGATTAGCCATAAAACACCAAGTATTTCGAAGAGGACAATAGAAAAGATGGCTTCAGAGCCATAGGAGCCAGCAGGACTCCACATTTTGCAGTCTCAAAATTGCAAAGGTGAAAGACTTTGCTTTGAGAAGAGTGCCCCAGACCACCATGTTCCAGAATAGTGGCAGCCTAGAGAATTTCTTCCTTCAGATTGGGTTCATAGTGCTCAGCAATTCAGGCACTTTACCCCTATAGCCAACACAGGCGGAAATCTGGCTACTGCTTCAGCTGGCAGCAGACCCTGGTGTTATCTACGTGGTGCTGGTTTTAGGTGTGTGCAGAATGCAAGAGTTGTGGGGTCAGGAAGGCTTCCACTCAGATTTCAGAGGAAAGCCTGCACGGCCAGGCAGTAGTAAGAGAGCACTTAGCGAAACTGAGTGTGAAGCAGAAGGTGCAGTGGAGACCCTAGAAGGATGGAAAAGCCAGGAATGTGGATCACCAGAAAAGCTGCAAGGAAAACCACCCTAAGAGAAAAGCGATGGGAGCTACAACCATTGGCAGTGCCTTAGGACTGGAGCCACCCAAGCCCTCTGGAGTTCACATCTTGCCACAGATTGCCCCAGTTGCTGGACGTGGAACAGTGGAACTTACTGTTTTTCTTGCTGAATGTTGGACTTGCTTTGATCCCATTCCTTTCTATCCTCATTTGGAATGGGAATGTTTATCTTGTGCCATTGAATGTTGGAAGTGTTTAACTTTCTTTTCATTTGTACAGAGGCTCACAGCGAAGAGTTTGCCTTAAATCTCAGAAGAGACTTTGGACTTGGACTTCTCAGCAGTGCTGAAACTGTTAAGACTTTGGCAACTCTTAGAGATGGACT